TGGGCGGGCTCCGGCCCCAGGGTCCCCCCCCCCCCCGTCAAACCCCTGGCTGACGGCTGCGCCAGAGGCGGAAGCAGAGGATGCCGGGGCCCCTGGTGGGAGGTGTCTGAGAAGGGGCTGGTGTGTGGACCCCGCTGTCCTCCAGGAGGGAGGACCCTCCTCTGACAGCCCCTCTCCCTGGCCCTCCCGCGGTCCAGCAGCGTCCACCTCGGTTGAGAATCCTTGCGCGACTCGCTCCCAGTCTCCAGTCTGCCTCGGAGGTGGACTCGCGCCCTCCCAGGCCCTGCTCCTCTGCGGATGGCCACGGAAGCCAGGGCTTTGGCAGGGCAGGAATCTTTGTTCTGTTCTTTCCGATTCAGTTCTTGGTACAGAGCTGGGTGCCCCTGGGGGTGCCCAGTGGATTCTCCCAGACTCCTTCACCCAGAATTTGGGGAAAGAGGAGAGACGGGAGACCCCGAGCGCAGACTCAACAGTGAGCGAAGCCCGTGCGAACCTGTGGACTCTGCTTGCAGGGCCAGGTGCTGCCTCTGGAGCCGGCCTCGTGGCCCGGCAAAGGGACAGGGATGGGGCGGCTGTGGGGACGGCGGGGAGGGATCCGGCGCCCCGGCACTGACCTTGAGGGCACTGCGGGCCACGCCGCCGGGCCGCCTCCGGGCCGCGTCCTCCAGCTGCATCTCCGAGCAGAGTTCTTCCTCGTCTTCCTCCATGATGTCCGAGAGGTCGGACCCCCGGCTGCTCTCCGTGTGGTACTCGTCTCCATGGCAACAGTGCAGCTGGGCAGGAGAAGGGGATGCAGATGGAGGGGCAGCTCCAGCACACGGGAGTACCCGGGTCCCCTCCTGGCTGGCCCTCCTCTGCTCTGCCCACTTCTGAGCTCAGAGTCGTGTCTGGGTGTCTGGATGAGAGGCGCTCACCCCAGAGGTGAGGGAACCACAGTCCCCAAGCCCGCGGCGAGCTGAGATGGCAGACAGAGGACCAGCCCAGGCCCTCCAACTCTAAATCCGGACGGGGGCAGGCAGAGACCCCCTTGGGCTCTTGGCAGGACAGAATGCCAGGGGGCTCACAAGACACACAGGAAAACATCGCTTTTCTGGGTACCGTCAGCCTCTCCAACTTAGTGGCTGGACAAAGCCTCAAGCGACAGGTCGTAAACTCAGGTGGCAACAGGACTCGAGGCCCCCCCATGAGCGTGTACGTTGCATCTAGGGTCAGGGAGCAGAGAGTGCTGGGTGGCAGGCAAGTGGGTGCAAATGCACCATTAAGGGCGCCTAAGAGTTTTAAGAAAACCGTGCAGTCTGAAATTCACACACGTGCACACACTGGGTTGTCAAAGAACAGCCCGGTCCGGGCAGGGTGGGACCCCCCCTGTGTGGTGTGCCCACTCTGTGCCCAGTTTGGTCACTGACACCGGGGAAGGCCCGCTGCTGGGGGTGCTTGGGGAGGAGTCTGGGGACGGCGGGACAGGGTCAACAGAAAAGCAAGGAAAAGTAACTTGCTAACGTGTAAACTGAACCACCAGCAGCCCTGATGGGGTCTGGGGATTTGGGGGCTGGTCCAATTCAGCGGTCCCGTTCCCACCCTCAAAGCAAGCGCCCATTATTCAGCATCTCGAGTATTTGCAGCAACTCAAACCGCACACCCTACGAGCTCAGATTTCTGAGCCCCAAACATGCATAAAGCTATTTTGTTTCTGCTGGATGGCGTCCATTAAGAGCAATTTCTTTATTCTCCTGGTGGGCGACCAGACAAGTGCCTTTAATAGCATCTCGAGACACGTTTATTAAAAATACCCCAGTTTCAATCGCTCCTCTAGATAAAGACGTGTCAGCACCTGAGTGGCACTAAGTTCCCGGCCCGCTGATGGGAAGGCAGCGTGAGTGCCCAGGCTGGGGGTCCCGACCCAGCCGAGCCCTCAGAGAAGTGGCCCAGATGCTCTCAGCCTGAGAAGTCTGTGTGTCAGCGTTTGAGCTGCTCCAGCCCTAATTCTTTCAATCAGGCACTGCAGAGGAGACGTAAAAGTGAACTGATTTTAAATGAATAAACGAAGATCAGGTTGGTTTGAAAGAGGTCTCCCCAAAGCAAATGGGAAGGAACTCTCCTCGAGAAGACAATCTCACTGCATTCAAACCAGTGATGAGTTAGTAATAAACCCATGGGATGGAAGGAGGTGTCTGCCGTTTGCCAAATACATCATGGATAAGCCACTCATAGGACTCCTATTCCTCTCTTCTGCCCAGTGAGATGTCGTGGGAAGTCTTGATGGAGCTTCTGGAAAAGATTTTTCTACCAGTTAAAAGAGATGTGCCTGAGAAGAAAGCCCCCCTCCTTTTTCCCTTCCCTCCCTCCCTCCCTCCCTTCCTTCCTCCCTTCCTTCCTTCCTTCCTTCTTGGGGTGCTGTCATATGAAAGTGTGACGATTGGAGCAACGGCAGCCACTTTGTAACCATGAGAGAAAGGCCAAAAGAATGGAAGATTCAGAACCTAGAGCCAGGACACAACTGAGCAGCTGAATCAACCTTGCAACCTCCTACCTGAGACTTCCTGCGATGTGGGAGAATGAAATGTCTTTGTTATCTTAGTCGTTATTAGTTGGGCATTCCATTTCTTGTGTTTAAATGAATGCAAATAGAATTATTTTAATCTTTTAGATAAAGAACTCAGATGGTTGGAGAAGCTGAGTAACTTGCCTACTACTAGCAATGACAGAGCCAGGAAATGAGTCCAAGTCTGTGAGATTCCAAGGTCCTCTTCTTGGCTAGGTTGTGACACTGCCTTGCTGCAGAGCTGTGTGTTGAGGGGGCTGGAGGATATGACATCTGAGGGGTCTTCAGGCTCTGACATCTCAAGACCTCGGGAATCTCCAGGCCCTCTTCCTGTTGTCCAGACTTAGGTCTTGACACCATTAAAGGACATTCCCATTAGAATATGCATGATCAGAAATCGGAGACCAAACCCACACTGGATGGATTTGTCACTTGTGAGCCTGGTCTGGGATAAGAAGCCCTGACATTTTTGTCCCCCCAAGGATGGGATGCTGACCGTTTAATTTCTGAATCTCCCATGATGCTTAGCACTTAGCAGATGCTCATCATACATCTGCCTGATGAACGAAAGTAAAGAAACAAACGGTAGGTTTTGCCTAAACTGAGACCAGGCGGTTACCTGGAGACTCACCTGAAACACAAAATCAGCCCACGAATGGATACTCACACAGGGCAGTCAGGGAGGGCAAAAACCTCACATTCCGACTTTTGAAATTGTCCCCCAGTGAGGTCACAAATGCGCAGGCTCTGTGCAATCTAAACTTTACAATGGACTGTGATTGTTGTCACCCGGGACTTGGGGCCGTGCACCCAGGAGCTGCACTCACCGGCTTGCCCAGCTCCGAGCCTTTCAGAAACTCGTCCACCGACGCGCCCCTCCTCTTGACGTCGGGGGACTCGTAGCTATCTTCCTCGTCCGAGTTTGCGTACTGCCCACTGCTCCTGTCCAGGAAGATGCTCCTTTTCTCTAGCTTGGAAGAGAAGACGGGAGGTGTCAGGGCAGAGGCTGCCTGGCCCTGGGGGTGGGTGCAGGGGCAGGCGGCTTCCAGGCCCGACAGGGCTCCATCCATTCCTCTGCCTCCTCGGAGCCACTGTGTGAAGGGACTTGGGGTGAGTGACCCGCACAGGCTGGCGGGCGTTTTCTGATGCTGCCCTGGGTGCCCGCCGCCCCTCCCATGCCCACCAGAACTAGCTCCTGCCTTTGCAGGAGGTAACGCGTGGGTGCTGAAGAAAGGCTCCTCTCCCTCGGTTTGCCACCCTGGCCCGGCTGTTACTGTGATCAATTAACCTTTTTTTGAATATGGAAGCTCAGAGGTTTGCTTTCTCTCCACACCTTCTCAAAGGGGAAGGCAGGCCGGGGGGAGGTGGGGAGGTGGCGGCTGTCCCAGGCGTTCCTGGGCCCAGCCTCTGGCTCCAGCCCACTCTCGGGGGTCCTGTCTGGGAGCTCAGAGTGGTGGGATGCGTGGCTGCTACCCGAGAGGGCGGGGCGGGGGGCAGAGCTCTCCCACCAGCCCCTTCCTACACCAAAGCACCTGGGCTTCTGCCAGGGTGCCCGTAATAAATGTGCACATTCTGAGGCATTTCCTTTAGGCATTTCCAAGGGTACAAACTGCTGTGTAACTATTAACAAATCGGGAGATTCCACAAAAAGTCTGGATTTCCAGTTTTTCAACAGGCATTGAAGTGCTGTCACGGTACCTCTTAGCCCTCCCGGTTGCCTGGCCGTGGCCCGCCTACCTCAGCTCTGACCTCTAGGGATCTGGCCTCTCCTCAAGTTCCTGACCCAGCCTCCAGCCCGGAGGGGGCCTGGCCCGGGCCCTGGGATGCCCAGGAAGTGAGGGTCTCCCGGCACCGGCATGGACGTCTCCACCTGCATCTCAGAGAAAGCACTGCCAGGGGTTGCCGTCCTGGAGAGACCCCCGTGGGCTGGCCGGGCAGAGCTGAGAAGACCACTGACCACCACTGTCACCTCTGCCAGGGCCCTAACCTCGGGCTTGCAGCAGACAAGCTGGGCGCCCTGGTAGACAAACGTGCCCAAGGGAGAGAGATGGGGGTTTGACCCAGGCAGGGAGGGGCCTGCGGCCTAGCTCAGGTCCACACCCTCCTCTCTGGCATCACTTCACTGGTGCTTCTTACAATTTCTCGGCTCATTGCACATTTCCTCTGGGACGTGGCCACACTGTCATGCGAGTACTCATCCCCACGGTCCAGGCAATTTCTAGCGATAGGCATGCAAATATATTTACGTGCATGCATTTCTATGTGTAGGTATCTATGTATACATACGTGTATATAAATGTGTGTGTGCGTGTATGTATGTGCACACACGTACGTACGTATGTCTATCCGTGTGTATACACACACACACAGTCACATACCCACACGCGCAAACACACACACACAGCTAGAAGTCTGAAGTGAGCCAGCCAGGAGGTGACCCTCGTTTGGGAAGATGTGCCCCAAGCCCACTCCCAGGAGGCACCTCTCAGATCCCTGGACACAGACCAGTGCCTGGTTAGCGGGTTGTTAGCTCGTCTGCTAAGCCAGGCTGGTGGATAACCCTTTCCTGTGGTTCTATCTGGGTCCGTATCTACGCGATGGAAACACACGTTGATTCCGACAGGCTCGGGCCTGGAATGCAGCCCTAGGGGAAAACTGGAGGATGAACACGGCATCCTCCTCCCCAAGTCAAGGCCGCCACTCTGGGAGCTGAGTGTTCGGGGCGCGTCTCCCCGTAGACTCGGGGTGCCGAAGGAAGGTCCCATCCCCGCTGGGCTGCCGGGACGGACCGCACGGCACGGGCACCGGTACCGGCGAGGAAACGCCCAGCCTTACCCTGCTGCTCTCGGCCACCCTCTGCGCGGCTTCCCGGGCCATGGCCTTGGCGACGGAGGTGGAGACCGGGGTGCCCTGCGGCTGCGGAAGGATGCGGCTCGGCGAGGGCGACCGCCGCCCCGGGCCCGAGCCCTGCAGGCCGGGCGGCTCCAGCAGGTGCCCGTGGGCCGGAGCAGGCGCCCGGCCGAGCTCCCAGGCCTCGTGCGCCGCGGCGTGCGGACCCAGGTGTTCATCTTTGGTATCGGGGGCTCCGGCACTTGCTAATGGCTTCGGTGTGGGAGCAGTTCTCTGGTGGGGGGCAGGAGGCACCAGGAGGTCGGGGGGGATGGCAGCGGCGGCAGAGTCTACGGACTCGCCCTGGGCGGAGAGGGTCCGCACGGTCACACCCTTGGCTTCGAGGCTCCGCAGCCGCACCAGCTCCACGGCCGTGCTGTCCGCCGTGGGGGAGATGATCTCAGCTACCTGCGCGCAGAGAGAGCGGGGTCAGGGGTCGCCCGGGCGCCTCTCCAGCAGCCAGGGCTCTGGGCCCCGCCTACATCCAGCTCGGCCCGGAAACCTGCCTAGGCTGCAGCCCCGCCTCCCGCCCGCCAGCGGAGGCCTGCGGGCACCGCTGAGCACGCACCCTCCTCTTCCGCGTCCACAGCCAATCCAGGGGCAGACGCGGGGGCCGCAGAGCAATCAGAATGCCGCGCGTGTTACCGCCAAAGCGTGGCCCCAGGGAGGTGCCCGGCGGAGGCCAAAACGGGCTTCCGGCCGTGGCGGACACGTGACTGCGGCCCCGCCGGGCCCTGCCTGCTGGGCTGCTGCGGGGAGCTGGTTGGAGAGAGGCCCGTGCAGCGGCCGCTCTCACGGGGCGAGCTGGGACACCGCCCCGCGTCTGATGCAGCAGCCCTGGCCCTGGGGCTGCGGGGGACACGGTGGGGAGTGGAGAGAAGCTTTTGCTCCAGCCCCGCCCCCCAAGGGCAGCCCTGTCTGTTTCCTGTGCCCGGACCAGCTGGGGCTTGAGATTACGGGCTCCCCTACAGCGGGCATTAACACTTCCCTGCAGCGTTTCCGGGGCATTTGGACTGCCGTCTCGCCAGGAACCGGTTTGGTGGAATCTACTGAGTGGGCCCTGATATCGGGGGGGCGGGGGGGGCCTCGAAAGATGTGAATTTTTGGTACCCAGGGGAGAACAAGACAGGTCCGGGGCAGGACAGGCAGTCACTGCGGGAGGAGGGCAGAGAGCACTCTGGGAAGGAGGACAGCGCAAAAAGGATGGAATTCTCCGTGTCCTGCAGCTGAGCCCGGGATGGCGGCGCAGGGGGTGCTTAAGTAGCTGCTGGTGGGTCTTGGGGGCTGAGGAGAGAGGGAGAGTCGCCCGTCACTGAGCGGAGAGTGCTGGGGCCTCTGGGGCGAGCACTGCCCCCGCAAGGACTCACCCTCTGCCCTTTGGCATACACGCCGTAGCCGGTGACGTTGGCTCCATTGGACAGCCCCGTGGCCGTCAGCGCGGGCGGCTTCCAGGAGACCTGGACAGTGGCTGGGGTGGCCGTGGCGTGGACGGCAATGTCCTGGGGTGGGGCGGGAGGACCTGGGGGACAGAGCAGAGGAGCTTTCAGGACGCGGCCCTCTGGCAGAAGAGATGCTACCGCGCCCGGCTGGGGGCGCCCGGAAACGAGATCTTCTGTCAAAGCCTCCAGGGGTCACGGGCAGAATATGAAGTGTGAAAGCAGGGCAGGAGGGTGAGGAAGTGGCAGCTACCGGACACACGCGGTGCCCTCCTGGAACCCCGCTCACGGGTGCTCCGTCCCCAGGGGAGCCCGGGACCCGGGCCAGGCCAGCCGGCCACGAGGACCCAGCGTTTGGCAGAGGGAAGAAATCCCTGCCGCCTCTCCTTCCTCTTCTGCGCCCCTCCTCCCTCCGCCTTCCCTCTGTCCCTCTGTCTCTCTCTTCATCAGACTTGGGGGCAGTGAGCTGGACCGCACATCCCCCATCTCACCGCCTTGCGGGACAGGACAGAACCGGAAGCTGGAGAGAGACGGTTCTGATGAAGCCACCCGGCCCTGGACACCGGCTCTGCACACACACCGCCCGGCTGACCGGCTGGGCCGCTTCCTTTGCTCCCCGAACCAGTTTGAATCGCGCTCACCATGGAAGTCTTGAGCAGCTACTTGAACCAACAAGGAGGCCAGGGTCATGTCGCTGGGCCTTCCAGGTGGCTCTTGGGGCCAGCAGGACCACCTGTCTGCCTTGTAACCCACAGGCAGCTCCTTTTCCCCCGGGGTCTGCCTGGTGCAAAACCCCCATAGCTAACGCTCTATCTGGAAAGGAACGTGTAACTTTCCGGAGGAAGGTATGAGCTTCATCCTCCAAGACGCTGCTCCGGCCCGTGGATTTCTGTGTGGGGGGCAGTGGCTGTTTGCTGAGGATTCTCTATGTGCAGCTCATTCTGCTACTCACTTTGGACTCTTTACATCGCCTGATCCGCACAACAGTCCTGTGAATTCAGCGCATCCTTGCTTTGCAAACGAGGAAGGTAAGGTTCGAGGGATGCTGCTCGGCTGTTGTGTGTTGGAAGCGCCGGCCTGCAGCTCAGTGCAGCTCATGAGTAGGGCTGATGCAAGCCACCCTCGACACACTGCAATATGGGGCTTCTGAACTTCCCTACGACTGGCTTCAGAAGTTAAATTCTACCTGGACGTTCCATTCAAACGTGACAGATGGGTCATTATTCTTAAGGGCGAAGGTGAAGAACTGAAACTGGCTTATTGGGCGTTTGCTGGGTGCCCATTTCTACCACAAGAGCAATGACAGCAGAGGGCCGGGGTTTTGTGGGTGCGGAAGACTTGTGTAGCTGTGATCTGCCAGCTCCAGCTCATCCCTCCAGTGGCCGAGAGGTGAGGGGGTCGCACTGACGTCCATCATGTAGGGACATCTGGTCCAGCCACGTGCCCGACATCGAGCTCACACTGAACGAGGTTCAGGGGCTGCCCTCCCCATGCCTCTCACTCGTGACATTTCCACAGTCCAAATCCTCCTCTGCCTGGACAGGCAAAGGCACTAGTCTGCTATGGACTGCATGTTTGCGTCCCCCCCCCCCCAAATCCG